TCACATCAACTCATGAACCGGGGACCAACGGCTTTACTTCCCATCCGAAGGAAGGCGTGATCAGAGATGTTATGCCTCAGAACATCCCGGCGGCGCCGACTGGGATTGAACCCAGGCCTGCTGGGGTGAGAGGTAATCACGCTTACCACTACACCACCGGCGCCGTTTGTACATAAAATTGATAAATATCAGATTTTTAGCGATGGGCCCAATCTTAGATCCATAAGCCAACAATAGAGCCATTTCCCCTACTTCATCTGACTAGTGACCTTAAGGATGTTATAGTACGTTCAGACTACAGAGTTATAACATGTTATAGCGCTATCTTGATGGTGGTTTCTGTGTTGCAATTATTTGACAACCGCTATAACATGTTATAACTCTCCAGTCTGAACAAGGCATTAGATGGGGAAAAGATCGAGTCATTCAGGCTGCATGCATATGCCGACCTCAAGCAGGCGAAAATACCCCATTTTCTCGAGTACATTTTTTTTAAATTTTAATTATAGAGATTTTTAGCCGAAGGCTACTTCATCTCTAAAATTCTCGAGTACAACTTACATAGATTACATAACTAGGTACATATGTGGATGTATTCATGCGGGGCTTATATCCAAATATTGTTAATTATCTTACTTGATACTGCCTCACTTTATCCATTCAAGCAGTATTAAAATGCTCTGCATACAACATACGAATGCAAAAAAAAAATGTACATTCTTAGAATACTGTCAATTATATTAACTCTGAAAGAGCTCAATGAACGCAAGTTGAGGGCAGGCTTAAAGTGTTAGTAGATACGTAATAACCAAAAAGAAGATGCATACAGATGAAGTTCGGTCAAAGAGGTCATCCTTACATGCATTGACTCATTAAGTTATCTAAAGAGATATGCAGCCGTAGTCCTAGCAATAATATTGATACGAACCAGCTTCGTCTGAAAGTCTCTCAAATAAAGACAAACAAAAAAGTCCATGCTAATACATGTATAAAAGAGTTTAATTTAATAAATGCAGTCTGCAGTTGAAGAACGCATCGCTGGAACTTTCAATTAAAGATACCTGAACAAGGGGAAAATATGCTGTTCATAAAATGCATTGTGTAAATTTTCAATCCTCCGTATAGTTCGTCCTTTCAAAACTGAAGTCAAATTTTTATATTGAGTCTACCTGCCATAGACAACGGCAAACAGCTGTGATCCTATACAACTATTTAGGTAGCTAAACGCCCTCTCTCAGCTAATTCTTATGATTTTCTTTGCTACCCCTGCAGACGTAAGTATAAAAGGACTTTTTCCTAAGACTCTTCTTCAGTTAAGTAACGTATTTTGAACGAACAAGGTTGATAGTAGATCCACGGTTGAGTGAAGTGAAAAATAGCAATGTATGATCAAGTTATGGATTGCAAGCAAGGATACATGTACTGCGGGAGCCAACAGGACTTTTATTATCAAACACAAAACGGACATACGATGGGATATCAATACCAGCAAGACCAAACAGGTTATTTCAATGGTAGCAGCGCAAATTATCAGAACTGTCCATCAGTGCATCAAACTTCACCAATGTTCCCGGTTGTCCAGTCTAACAATACGTTAGATTACCAAATGACTCCAGCTTTATACGTGTTGAATCAGCAAGCCAAAATTTTGGAGAAATCTCTGTTGCCCGGAATGATTGACCAGCCGGCCGGTCAGCTCAAGCGCAGGAAACAGCGGGGACCATACAAGAAAAAGAATTCAAAATCTTCCTCACCAGCGCCATTTGAATCGTTCGAAAATGCCAGCAACGGTATACAACAGGATCTAACAATAGGAGGTGTTAAGCGTGCGAATACTTCATGGGATGACGAAACGCAGATGTACCAAGTTACGAAACAGTTCAAGACAAGTGAAGATGGGGCGGTGCAATCATTGCCGAAGATGAAGGTATCCATTTTTCGATGCGTCGATCTGTTGGCTCAAAGTTCAGTGAATGGGCAGTGTTGAAATTTGGTTTAACCTTCCTAAATGCATTAGGAAAAATTTACACAGTGTGTTCAGGCCAAAAATGACCTCAATACACTAGGAAGGTTAAGTGCTACCAAAAAGTGGTCAACAAAATTCTTACACGAAGAACTAAAACAAAAGTGCCGTGTTCCTTCATCTATTAGTATTTGATTTGTAAATAGGTTTATTGCAATGAATAAAAAAGCTTCTTCATTTCTTAATCGGAGTCGGGTTTGTTTGTTTAGATTGGAAATATTAATATCACCAGGCGACAACATTCTTATAAATTGCAAATTAATCCGATGACAGTATAGATAATATTTTGGTATTTTTATAAGACACTACAGCTAAAAGAGGTCGACGCGGAGCTTTCGGTGTCTTTATACGTAAAAGGCTTTACTCGTTGATGAACTGGAAAATGGCATTTGGCACTGTCGCATGAATCACGAGTTCTATCAAGCAAGTAAGGATTTGTTCACAAAGAACGTAACGTAAGAGAGGGAGGGGGAATAACGAAAAGTGTTAAACTATGTTACATATTATTGAGGAAGGAAGGGAAGGCGATGTGCGAGCGATAAAGTTCCGCGTAACATTGAGTTTTCACTGATTTTTTGACGTAGGACTACGTACATACCTTGATTTGTTTTCCGTTGATCTTGTTTTTCGTGCTGAGCACCAATGCTGCAGACGCCAGGGAGGCAGCTCCCATTCCTGGACCCTACCCATCAACTCATGAACCGGGGACCAACGGCTTTACTTCCCGACTTTACTTATTTTACTCATGCGTGATCGGAGATGTTCACGATGTTCGAGGTAATCACGCTTACCACTACACCACCGGCGCCGCTTGTGGGGGGGAGGGGGGTGGGTACATTTTGTGAGAACCGAAAATGGAACATGTAACGAAATTATGAAAGATTTTGAACGTTAATAACAATGACCGACTATTAAAGCGTCGAAATAAAAAACAAATCCACCAATTGCGTACATCCATATGCTGCTTCCCCAACACAGTCATCAGAGAATCGTTTCTAGACGAAACATGTCGATGTAGCATTGCTGCATCCCCAACACTGTCATCAGAGAGTCGTTAGTAGACGAAACAAGTCGAAGCGTCTCCGATCTTCGGGTGTGTGCGAATAGGGTGGATGCAATTGCGTAACATTTTGCACACTCATCGCCATATTCAGAAACACACACACACACACACACACCCAACGACTACACAAAATGCTCACCAGAGTTGTAACAACCAGTGGAAACTAACGATTTTAAATTGGCTCACTACTTGCCTATTGGTCCCAAGTACATCTATAAGCCTACCCCATTCTAGTAGAAATTATAGTACTACCACAAACGAAATGACAGACGACTAACTGGCGAAGAAATCCATTTAAATAATGTGGTTCACTGTAATAGAATTTTCTTGGAAGCTTATGCCATCATCCACCAGATGGGTTAGTTTTTTTGTTTTGATTTGAACAAAGTTGATTTTGTGTACAATGATTCTTTGACAGTGTGCAAAGAGTGCGTATCATTTTGTCATTTTTTTATGCATTTCAGTTTTGAGTAGAGTGAAAGAGATAGAATCAAAACATTCTAGTACATTTGGTGAAAATGCTAGTTCAATCCAGTAGTAGTGTTGCCATGTGGTTCAATCCAGTAGTAGTGGTGTTGCCATGTGGTACACTGAAAAATTGCAATAGCAGGTTAGTCACCAAAGTTTTCGAGCCGCTCCGTCTGTCACTTCGTTTGTGCTAGTAGGTCCCGAAGAAACGTGCTCAACTTTTTGGCTCAGCTCTGGTACTATCTTCGGTCCCAAGCTAATCGATGCACCCCTCGAAACATAGGAAAATCCACGAACCCCTCATTTTATCTGTCAAACTTTCATAGCAAATCAAAACAAACATTGGCTAGTACTAGAATTTCAACTAGAATGGGGTACGTTAATCGATTTGCTTGGGACCAATAGGCTAGTCAAGTAAATAGCCAATTTTAAATCCATAGTTTCGTATTGATTGTTGGTACTACCACAAACGAAGTGACAGACGGAGCGGCTCGAAAACTTTGGTGACTAACCTGCTATTTCAATTTTTCAGTGTACCACATGGCAACACCACTACTACTGGATTGAACCACATGGCAACACTACTACTGGATTGAACTAGCATTTTCACCAAATGTACTAGAATGTTTTGATTCTATCTCTTTCACTCTACTCAAAACTGAAATGCATAAAAAAATGACAAAATGATACGCACTCTTTGCACACTGTCAAAGAATCATTGTACACAAAATCAACTTTTTTCAAATCAAAACAAAAAAACTAACCCATCTGGTGGATGATGGCACAAGCTTCCAAGAAAATTCTATTACAGTGAACCACATTATTTAAATGGATTTCTTCGCCAGTTAGTCGTCTGTCACTTCGTTTGTGGTACTACACTATGTTTGTTTTGATTCACTATGAAAGCTTGACAGATTAAATGAGGGGTTCGTGGATTTTCATATGTTTCGAGGGGTGCATCGATTAGCTTGGGACCGAAGATAGTACCAGAGCTGAGCCAAAAAGTTGAGCACGTTTCTTCGGGACCTTATGGAGGTTATGTTTTGTTACAGGAAAGAAGTGTAGAAGTGTAGAATGACAAGCGGAAATAATATTCGGCGCTAACCAGGACTCATTTCCACAATGTGAAATCTGTGAAACTCTGTTATTAACTCGCAGGAATCACCCATCGCCGGAGCTCTGCGGAACACGTCTTACTTCGGGGACGCTGATGAAGGAAAAGCCAAGAGCGATGGTGGCTCTGATGGTTCATACGTACTCTGTGTATAGTTCACACGCACACTCTCATCAAGCTATTTACAGGGCTGCTTCGCCCTAGTTAAGCTCATGCTACACTGGGGTGTATCGGGCCCACACAAAATCTATGCATAAATATTATATTCAGGAATGTGTTTCGGACGTTATACATAACTATAGTCGAACAGTCCAGTTTTAATGCATTGATGATTATTGCTTTATTCGAACATGGATAATAATATTAATTTGTGGTTACATTTAGATAACAGTGGGTACACAAAAAGCTGTGTAATTTTATACGCATCTGCGCTATTGCGATGCTGCTTAAAGCACGGACTAGGAAATTTGAACCACTGAATAATAACTACTGCTATCGCCTCTACTATTGATTACCATGTGGTGTATCAGTTGCATTGATTTGCTATCTTTTGTTATGATTATCAGTTTATAATTGTTTGCATGTGAATAATTTAAGTCTTACCTCACCTTTTATTTATATACTGCTGCTTCCTTGTCATCCGTATCGTTTTCCCTTGCCATGAGCAGTAGTTGTAACATTAGCATAGCCTCAACCTTATCCAATGGATCCATCACACCACGTTGTAACCATTTCGGTATAGTAGTACGAGCGTGACTGAATCCCAACTTATTTAGAATGTAATCGATTCCATATGGCTCGATGGATTTGCCCGCCCAGGAAAGTAGTCTGGAAAAATTAAGCATATTATTTGTAATAAAATGTAGCCATTCGAGAATGAATCCGATCTTACCTCACGGTTGGCTCTAAATGCCAAGTTTTGCAGTTGAAATGACGCCAATCTGTTCGGATTGGAAGCTCAACATCGGATTTGTCTACTTTGATATGAATATTTTTTGAGTTGGTAGATTTCTCGTCAGTACGGATACTCGAAGAAGAAGCACCAAGATCGGTCAGATTGACCGCACTTCCATTGGCAACCGACGGACTAGAAGAGATGTCATGCGTCAAAGAAGTTCCCAAGTTGATAGCACTTTTTACGGGCTTCAATGACGACGCATGGCTTTCCGGAGTCGGTGAAGGAGACGGGGTTAGGGAATGGGGAGTCGGCGAGGCGGCACGTGCGCTAGTAATGGTTCCCAGCTGAAACGATAATGAGACAGTGAAGTTAGTCATAGGCAATGGTGAATTTTGGTGCAATTAGTATCTTACCACTTTTTCCTTCTCTTTCAAGTAAGAGGTGATCAAATCGTGAAGGAAAAAGAATGCATCCGCATCAACGGTAACAAAGATGTGATCTTCGAATTCAGTTATGAAACTGCATTCAACGAGGGGTTTTTCTTCTGCAAAGATTAAGCAGAAAATGTCATTCAAGGAACAATCGGGCAAACATTTTCGTTTGTTTAACTTACGAGACGCGTCCGGTGTGGTGACCCCTTGCATATGTTCTGTTTTGAAATGTAGCTGGAGGCTGGGTAGCGCAAATATCACTTCTCGATTGTGGTTCGGATCTTGTAGCTTCGGGTGCGTCGAGGAAGTTCCACCACCTCCTCGGGCACGCTCGATCGAGTTAGTGTGATGTTCCTTGTCGCGTTCTAGCACCGGGAAACGATCAACCGCTATTTGAGTACGAAATCGGAATAGAACAGTATAATACCTGGTATTAAAGTGACAATCTTATTAACTTACCATCGATTTCACTATTGGCGAAAGCGTAATGGAACCACTCGTGAAGCGTTTTGAACTGCGGTGGAAAGATCACATTTCTCGACATTCGTACAACGGTTGCATTCGAGTGGTGCTGCGACGGTTGCTGAGAATTCATACCCAAACCGAATGTCAACGTTTGAATGACGTGTACATCCTCGGAAGATTCGACGTGCTGTGCTTCGGTAGCAAAGTTTATACATGGTTCTTTCAAGCTAAACAATGCCCACGACTTGGATTTGAAGTTTATGCCGTGAAAGCAGGCCAGAGAAATGTTTTTCCCATGTAACTCCATTGTGCCTCCGAGAACGGTTCCTATATTGGAAAGCGGAACTCCCAGCGTGGACAACCATAAGCCTTTGGTTTGTTTAAGCGGTCGTTGCCAGTGACGGTGATGACGTGCATCGCGAATGCTTATTTCTCTCTCAGCTGCCGTTTGGGGCACGGTTAAATTCTTTTTTGTAGAATCTTTTCGACGCACACTAGTGCGGTTATTTACCGTCAGGCGGGGTTCGAGATTCGAGAATACTCGCTTCGAAGATTTGAATTGCTGCGAGAAAAACTCTTCCAACTTGTAGAACATCTTCAGAATGTCAGCAGTGGTCGATTTGGAGATCATCATTTGCATTTGATCCCAGGATAAATCACCGTGGATTAAAATTATTGCCGGATAGTTGGTGGGAAGTGTATTACTGAAATCGTGATCCTTCGAGAACTTCCATTGATCTCTGAGTTGAGCACTAAGCGAGCTGATTCTGGTCATCAGAACGCTAGTTCCCATGTAGTCGAATTTAAGCTCCAACGCAAGCAGTTTTATACCAACCTTATGATCTGGTTCACAGCCTGGATCTTCGCGAATGTGGATGAATGTGTCAATCTTGCTCAGTTCAATTGTACCACCAACGATTCCTCCTTTAGCGTCCAATGACGACCCTCCCAACCCAACACCAATGTACATGTTCTTGTGACCAGTGCTGCCAATGCTCAACCGTCCATCACTTCGAAATGCTTTGGTGAGCCACACAATGTTTCCCATTACATTACCCATGTTCATTTGAACGTTCAGCTTGGTAAAGTTAACAGCAAATAGCACCAATGTTTCCCAAGAAGTGACCTGATTGACATCCGACGGTGATGTGTTCGAGTCCATACTAGATGATTTCTGATCCCTCAACTTCGCTGTTGTCGATGTCGAACTTGTACTTCCCATGCTATGCTTTGGCAAATCATCTTCCAAGCTTAGCTTCAGTTTGTCTCTGCTTAACGTTTCCGGGCGATCAGGTGGCAGTTCCGTATCAGTTGCTTTCATGCTGCTTCCTTCCGAAACGCTTTCCAAATCACACATACTAACCTGTGGGATGCCAAGATCTCCCAGGAACATTCTTCTCACTATACTTCTGCGGTACCATGCTTTCGGGAAAGCTAATATCTCTGTCAGTCTTCTCATGTCATACTTAAATGAAGCCGAGCCTATATCCACGATGGTAGAGAAACGGATCACCGCTTTGGACTGATCAGACATTTTTCTGCTAAGTCCCGTCTCGTAATTGATTTTCTTCGACCGTGTTATGTGGAATTTCACAAACTCCACATTAATGCTGAGTGAATCTTTTCTTTCACTGTCGGCTAGAGGGCTGAACTGATTCGATTCCTTCAGGTTCGTTTTCTTACCTCCGTAAGGATGGAATATGTATACGTTAAAATCGGCTAGACACCCAGTAACACTCAAACCACCTGCCGATCTTGCTTCGTTTTCACTCAATCCTATGTTCGATGGTACATCGTCTTGTCGATTCGAGCTGAAGATAATATCCAAGCTTGGAAGCTGTAACATACATTCAACACGTGACACAGGCAGACACGAGAAACGGAACGTTGACGGTTGCATATGGAAGTAAACCACTACATCGACAGGGAAACTGGCATAGACTGCATAATTGTTTTCCAGCATTTGCAAATTGACCGGATTAGATGGAACTGAGATCGTTTTCGATGGAATCGGTTCAAGGGTTTGCTCTAAGAATTCGAGAATATGTGGTGAGATTATAGTTTCCTCTGGAATACTTTGTAGCGTCATCCAGGCGAATAGAGTTGCTCGCTTCAAACCATGTCTACGGGTTGCTCCGAATGGATCCCCCGTACTCATCCGAGGCGAAGCATCGTCGTCGATGATTCGCGATTGGTACTGCAACTTGACGTCCAATCCCGGTATGTGGAATATGGTCAAGTCCACCAGAGCGGTGTACGGAGAATTGTATTTCAATCTCGTTTTCTCCTTGCTTCTCCTCGGCGGAACTGGACTGCCCCAATCGGTTCCGATGCTCCTCTCACGTTTATGGTGCTTAATTGTGCTGCTTACACTTGTAGACATTTTCTCATCCGTAACGTCTTTCGTGTGCAAAACGCACTTGCCTGAATTGACCAGCACCTTAATGTCCAACTCAAAGTCGATGTTCGGTTCTTGTTGCTTCTGCGGATGATTGGGACTTTTTTTTCTCAACTCAACCTGTTCGCCGTCTATTTCCAGCAAGTCGGGAGTATCCGAAGCCAGTGACGATTCGTCACAACGTGGCCAATCGAACCCAGAATCGGAATATCCGGCTTCGGAATCTGCACTCGGCAGCGAAGATTGTCGCATGGCTTCTGTGAATGTAACGCGGCTGGCTTGTGGTATTTTCACTCTCAATGAAGCAGTTCGCGATGGACCGGTGTTCGGTGATTCTTGTAAACTGTTCAACAGGACTTCGTTCCCTGTAACCTCTATCATTGTGGAAAATTCACTCTGTTCTATCAGATCTTCCCTAGTGGGGGATGGGGCAATGAATGATCGTGAACGGTTGGTAGATTTCAGCATCGTTTTCCTGATTGTTGGTCTTTTCCATTTCTGTAATAAAAAAAATAACGTTCATAAGAACATTGTGGATTTAAAGAACAGCTCCCTAGAATAATTCATTATGCTCTGGAGATGCTTTTGCCGAGCAGTCAGTTATGTTCTTTGCTGAGATTTTCGGCGGTAAATGACAACCGTCAATTTTTTTTTGCCCCCATCGACAATTGATTTGCTGAGATTCGACGAGAAAAACTAAGTGTGGAGGTAATCGCACAATACGTTTGAATTATGAAGTACATTATTAACAAATCTTACCTGTAGCATATCTCTACGGAAGTATTTGTAGCATATAGCTTGCAGCCCTTGCAATCGCCTTTCCTCGTTCTCGATCGTTTTCGAAGAAGCACCAAGTGAGCGCAAATCATTCACCGTTTTCGTTTGTTCTGCTATCTCATTTTCCATCAGCAACGATCGTTTCTTGGGGTCCAGTGTAGTATCGAACAAAAATGGCGGCAGTGAATCAATTGATTTGCGTCCCTTTCCACCACACTCCTGTGAGGCTCGATTTTCTTCTGATTGATCGGCCTCATCACTGTCTGGAGTATCGGAGGAAATCGGGTCTTCATCTTCGGAACCTGTCAGCATGGTCAAGGTGTGACCTAAAGAGGACAATTGCTTGCCTATGTTTACATCAAGATGGATATCAACTCCTTCCATCTGCCATTTTACATTCAGGAACCACTTGGCATTATCCGGATGTTTAGCCGCAATCGTACGTGAACACACTTCATAGGTTCCTTCGGAAACAACACACAGGTTCATGATATTGGCATCGTTCATGTTGGGTTTCCAATCGTCCAAAGACGAATCGAAATCCTCAGCAAAGCGAAGGCACAGCCCTACGAACTTTCCCTCGGACACTAGAGAGCCGCAGCTGCACGCAGAGATCATTGTATTTTCTAATGTTATGACAACTGCTCGTTTCTGTTCAAAATCATTAACCGATCGGTTACCCCAATGTTGAGGAGGTTGATGCAACGGTAGACATATTCCCATGTCTTCTACCGTCAACCGAAGGAATAATGTAGACAAATTGGCAGTTGCCAGATGTTGACTGAGCTTTTCGAACGGTACCTTCTCGAATACTTGCTGAGTTGCCATCAGAACTTCCTTGTTGAGATTGGCGCGTTTTTCCGTCCAATACTCATACGCATTTTTGTAGTTTAGCCAAACTAAAATGGCTTTGTCAACAGCGATTGGCTGTACGTAGATAAGTGGCCGTTTCAGATTAATCAACACTAGTTCCTTATCATCGTTCAACATTTCCTCTTGGAATGCGTTTCGTAAGCCAATTGTTGTATTGAAGAAAGCGTACTGCTGAAACTCAGGTTCGGCTTCATCAAATATAACGTTTTTGATTATTTGGCCAAGAGATAGATTGAGATCGATTTGCGCTTTACCAAACAGTTTGGTATTTGATCCTTCGGCCATATTCTTTACACGGTTTGACAGATGCAAGTCCAACTGTCCAGTTTCGAATCTCACTGCCGAATTGCAAGGAGTGGTAGCAGTCAGTTGAATCCGTTTGACTCGTATGTTCAACGAAAACAGTAACCTTTTGATATGAGATCCACTGTCCTCACAATCCTCCAACCAAATGGGCACAGGCTTTTCTCCACCGTAAACCTTTTGAACAACCTCGTTTACCTCCTTCATGAATACCTTCTGCACGAACACCAAGTGATTTAGTAAATCTGTTGAGAGGCAGCGTTCAAAAACTCCTATTTCGGCCGAAGCTGCAAGGTAGCCTCCCTGTCGCAGTACCACTCCATCGATAGGAGCTTCCTCAGAAGAACTCTCAGGAATATATTCAGCGCTTACATGAACGGGTGGCAGGGCAATACAAGCCTCTGATGGTAGATTTGTTTCTGTTGCTTGCGCTTTTGTAGTGAAACTGAGTGTATGGTTCGGTAGATCTACGGTGAACTTAGCCTTACTACCCGTTACACCTGTTGATGTCACGTGATCCATTTTATACTGGGCTTGAAGGGAAGGTAGAAGCGCTGCTGTCACAGACAAACTTTGTAGAATGACGTTGAACTGCATTACCAAGGGTTGCAACAAACCACTTGGATTATTTGCTGCCGCTTTCGTTGTCGTCACACTCTGCTTTCTAGCGGTAGGAACTTTGTCTCGAGTTTCGCGTTGATGATTTAAAGGAGATTCTGGTTCTTCGTTCTGCCGCGCTAATCTACCAGAAGTTCTGGTGACTCGTAACTCCTGCAGTGTCGATGAAATTTGCTTAGAACCTCGTGTCATCATTCCATGCAAAGCAACCGGATGTTGCGGAATGTCAATGTTGACGATACCGATCGAGAGCAAGCCATTATTCTTGTCCTTTCCTTTGCGCGTTATACTCGAGTACAGGGTTTGACTTTTACCGATGGTGACTTTGACGACGGTCCTAGGAAAACAAAAAAGTTTTTAGTGGTTACGAAAATTTGGCACTAGTTAAACCGGAAGTACTTACTGCTGATTGGGAGGGAGGCCCTCCAACAGCACTATCATGGCGCGTCCAACCTGGCCAGTCAAGGAACATTCCAATGACGCCGGACGGGACTTCTTTCGCCACGTGGTGCTGCAATGGAGAGCTGTTATTTCCGCCTCCAATTTCAATCCGCTGAGGGTAGCGAGAAGTCGTGTTCGATGAATTTTCGCGACTCCAAACACTACCAATCTGGTACGCTCTTGGGCTACAACACCGACATCTTTTGGTAGAGGTGTTCCTGCGCCAACATCATCATCATCACGAACGGTGGATTTGGTTTCGTGCATGATGTTATACTTACGCGCCTTGATTTGCCCGGCGGCGTCCGGTGATAATGACACACTGCAAACGAATGAGTTTATTAACTTACGCCAAATTCAACGCAATAGATGGATAAACATACCGATGAGCAATGGTCTTGGTTTCCGGCATTGCTGAGTAGAGATCCAACAAATGGTAGATCGTCTTCCAGCATTTTGGCGTATCGAGCATGCTGTGGATCGGTCCGGTGAAAGTTGAACGGTCGAATGGAGCAGTAATATCTACAAAAGCTTCATTAACATTTGGTCCTACACAGTTCATAAGAAAGGGAAACCAATAGATATGATTGTGTTGAAACATAATTGTCAAATGCTGTTTTAAAAAAACCCGACACACGTAACGCTTATATACATGACCAAACAAAACACAACGAAACAAAAAATGTCATGATACAACATAAAACTGTTTAAACATCTGGACATCCCAGACAACCTGTACAGACAGAATCGTAAATTTGATACGAAATTGGATATAAGAAAAAAAAAAAATCATAACTTGATGCCTAAATTTAACAGCACGAAATGCTATCAATCAAACTTGTTACAGATTAAATTTGTTATTACAAATTAAATTGTATATGAGAGGGTAAAAAGGAATTAATGGGGTGTGAGTAACAACAACAACGGACACTCTTATTAAACAATAAGAATGCTAGTTATAAAATAGCTCTACCCCGACATAACTGCCGTTTGGAATAATGTCTCCTGCCAATAACATAATTTGAAAGAACAGCTCATGATACATAAAAAGAAGGGAACATAATAATTTAATTGGAGTTACCCTTTTTTTGAATAATATTATATGAGCTTCATTTTTCGCGTTTATGCCAATTGGCCTACCCCGTTTAGCAACCAAAGGGTAGGCAATCGAAGTTAAACAATGCCATGGTAGAAGTGTCAGGTCGAACTACGTTAGGCCGAAGTTTTTTCTCTCTCTAATAAGAAGTTCTTTTGAAGGTTACAGTTTTTTTTATGATTTTCGGCACATGAGGCATTTTTGTTTCATGCATCATTTCTAGAAGCGATTTCCTTCTTTTTAAAATGAGCAGTTTTAACGAGGGGTAGGGTAGGTTTTCCAGTAATAGTTGTGTACATATAGTTGCGGTATGGAGCTTATGCCGCAATAATGGTGGAAAACCAGATACTTTAATTGTCATCGGTAACTCTCCTAAAATAAAGAAGATTTGCATATTTGAAACTGTCAATTAGCCTAAAAATGACGAAAAACAATTAATATTTTTAAAGATTTTGACTCATTTGCACCTATACCACCCTATACTGTCGACCCCATTTGCGGTTTTGTCAAAACTGATTTTTTCAATGGAAATGATAGCTAATCTCCCATATTTTCGTAATACTGGATGAACTCAACAACTTTGTCTGGAAAAGTTTGGGAAAAAAAGCGGATTGCTCCATTATATAAGATGCAATGGTGCGAGCAAAGTAAAAACGGGGTTAATTTCGGCTTGCTGATTTGTGGTATGAGACACTCATGAAATTAAAAAAAAGGATTTCTTACGAAAATTAAAAAAAAAGTCATGTAAAATGTAGCAGACCGGAATCGAATCCTGAGCGTTCAGATTATTAACTCCGTGATTTTTTCCCACGTCTATCAACGCTTGGGAAATAGAACAGGTTAAAAGTGTACATAGCTCATGTCTATGGAATTCATACCTTCTTCTTCTTCTTCTTCTTCTTCTTCGCATTTCAAGCTTATTGCGTGCTCTCAACTTAGTGTTCTAGATGCACTTTCACAGTTATTAATTGAGAGCTTTCGATGCCTGGCACCATTTTTGCATTTGTATAATTGTGCGGCAAGTACAATCATATACTTCTATGCCCAGGGAAAACGAAAAAATCATAGACCGGACCGGGAATCGAACCCAGCCACCTCCAGCATGGTCTTGCTTTGTAGCCTTTACCGACTGAGCTAAGGGAGGTGGAATTCACAATTATCTTATGAAATCAAAATTGTTCAGCTTCATAAGTCATGTCTTATGGAATTTTTAAGTTTTTTTTTTGCTTCAGTGTATAATAGTGGAATCCATTAGAAATCAATGCGTTTCACTATTATAGAAACCAAAGTACGCAACTACCACAACTACTGGAAAAGTGTACCTATTAATGGAGGAACAGTTTTCGAAAAATGTATACAATTCAATCACAATGTAATATTTTTCTAGAAAAATTGAAGTTGAAAGCTATAAATTGACGTAGGGGAATTTACGTATTCTCGTCAATCTAAGCAGCGTCTGCACTTCTACTAGCATTTTCTCAGCGTCACGCACATATATGATGTGTCTGTTTGTTTACATTCATCTGCTGCTTGCTTCTCTATCCATTCCAATCGACAGAATTTTTCAAAACGTTTTGAAAGCGTTTTTACAACGCTCCAAACTTCTCAGGTGAGTGTGACTATTGTCGGCAGCCTCTTTTTCTTCGGCAACCTTCCCATTAGAACTGCGTGTTAACCAGCTGTTCTATTATCGGCAACTCGAAATCAACCCCATTTTGTAGTGCGTATGCTTTATTTGAAGAAAAATGTAGCATTACTGGATTGCTCGATCGTTCAAATATAATCAGATTGAAGCTGAAAGGCTAAACAATCGTTTGGACACATTCAGGGAAGTGCGTTGATGGGAAAACATAGTGAAATTAACGTTTAAATTTTGGTTGCCGAAAACAGTCAATGGGTGCCGAAGCCAACATTTACCCTATGAAGATTGTATGCCGATCATTTTATTTTTATAAAAATAAATAAATTGCCTTAGTTCCTCCACTACTGGCTCACCTACTCTATTCTCTATTCTTATTTTTGGCACTTCTATTTTTTTTATTCATGAACCATTTCTAGAAGTTCTTCCTAATTTTAAATATGAGCAGTTCTTTGCCACTTCTTTCTAATAATATTGTCCTCACGATTTTTTGCACTTTGAGTTTTTTCATGATTTATTCCTAGGAGTTTATCATCGAGTTTTTTTTTTCCTGCTTTAAAACATTAGCAGTTCATTTGAGCGGCAGTGGGTGGGATGAAAGCACGAGTGCTGCGTGGGAGTACCGGTGGGACATAAGCACGTTTTGAGAGGGAGCAACTGTGGAGCGGGAGCAAGAGCGGCCCCTGTCCCTCTTGACCCCCCATAGCACCATCTTGGAGCCAGTTCTAATTACCCATTAGGCGGGGGTAAGACTGCCTTCCATGTGAAGGCCCATATAGAACGTTACTATCTTCGGCAAAGTTGTACAGTAGGTCAAGGCTTTTAGATTACAGGACACTAGTTAGGGGGCATGAAGTAGTTCGCCTCCTCGTGGTGTGCCCTGGAAACGTTAATTATCGAACCCAAGTAGGAGATATTGCGGCTAAACGAACTACCGCAGAGTAAGGACGCTGGAACCCCATCCAGCTCGTCCCAAGAGGTTGATAAGTCTTGCACAAACCCTCGTTGTGCAAAGGCAGGAGTGACACCGGGTTCTTAGAGTGCTGGTAAGCGGTCACATCTGTCCTGTTTGGCCCTAGACAGTTGGCTGGCTATCACGTCTGCTCTAGAACTCAGGCGAACAACTAACAGCGAACAACAAGAGGAAGGCCCTGCACAGCTGCTCACTGTGCAGTAGCGAGTGTCACGTCTGACACAACACTAGTGATGCGCCATAGCGCAACCGGCCCCCTCCCATGACGTAATGCTTTCGGGCGGTTCCGGGGAGGGCAAGGGCCTAGAGCACATGGTAAGGTTTAGTAGGTCGGGAGTGCTACTTCTCCCATCCCCACACCCTGAGTTATCTTCTCAGGTATCTGGGAGCAGATTCCCGGCTGTTGACGTAGGACTACGAAATTTTTTACGGTTCGGACGTTTTCGAAGATGTCGCGCAGCAGGAGAATGCATACGATGAGGGTTTCTCAAGCGAACCCCACACGTATCAATATATTGACGCGAAGGGGAATTATTGACAATAATATTGATGATGTGAGTGCAGAAATATTGTCAATACCGATGTATTGACGTCAATATTGAATGTATTGACAATACGATTATTGTCAATAAAAGCAATCGTGTAGGGTCCACTTCAGTTAATGAAAGTGAAATGGAAAAAATTTAACCCACCGATAAGACTACAAATAGAACAAAATTTATTTCCCTAACAAATTATTTGATTTTTGAATCATTTTGATGTATTTAGTGACAAATTGAATGGGTGAATCATGGAAAAGGAGGCACCAAGCGTCATCGGAAGGTTCTAGGAGAAAACATCAAGGGTACTACCAAGCCTGCCATTCGTCGTCTGGCTCGACGTGGTTATGTCAAGCGTCTCCGGTCTGATCTTCGAGGAAACCCGAGGTGTGCTGAAGGTGTTCCTAGAAAATATGCGTGATGCCGTCACCTACACTGAACACGCCAAGCGCAAAACCGTCACGGCCATGAAGCGACAGGGACGCATTCTGTACGGTTTCGGAGGTTAAAACTTATCACCAATGTAACAAAACGGCCCTTTTCAGGGCCACCAAGTTCATTTCAGAAAAGAGTTAGAATAGAATTTATATATTCCCTGCTTCCAAGTTTGGTTACAAGATTACAACTCTAGAGAGCAGCGGCGCCTGTGGTGTAGTGGTAAGCGTCCCAGCAGGCCTGGGTTTAATCCCAGTCAACGCTGCCGGGAAGTTCTGAGGCATAACATCTCTGATCACGCCTTCCTTCGGGGTTCCCGGTTCATGAGTTGATGGGTCGATAGGTAGGGTCCAGGTGTGGACATGCACAGTTGTACACACCAACTGCTCATTTGGTAATAACTTTTCACTCAGATGTTGAAATTTATTTTTCTTTAAAGTAATTGATAGATTAGGCTCACAGTTTACTATAGATATGCGAAGATTAGGTAAAGCTTAACATTTAAATCAACACTAATCAATTTAACACTTTAATTCCGAGATGTGTAGTGAGCATTTCTCACCTCATTTTTACAACGCAGAAACAAATACAGTTTACTAATAGCATTAAAATCTACTTTATTTTACATATCTATAACAAGCTTACACTCTATTCTATCTACTGCTTCAAAAAGAACTATGTTCCGTCAACTGTGTGCAAAGTTATTAGCAAATGAGCAGTTCGTGACCAAAACTGTGTATGCCAAGCATGGGTGTGCATGGGTAGCATTGGTGCTCAGCACGGAAAACAAATCCGAGGAAAAAAACAACATTTTGTGTGGTCGTTGGGGGCGTGTGGTTCTGAATTGGCAACAAATTGTTCCGCAAT